GCGTCCGGAAACAAAACCTCGGATTTTTCAGGTGAGCGCTCGCATGCACAGCCCGTTCATTCCTCGGCAAAGGGCTGCAAGATCTCGGCCAGGCTGGTGATGTTTGCATCATTCCTGCGGACAGAATCAGGGATTCAGAACGTCGCTTTCGGGTATGCAGGCATACTTTGAAATTGTTTGCTGGCGTCACGGACTTGGACAGAAGCCCAACAGACCCAGACATGCCAGAATCTGCAGGCCTTCGCAATGCAGCACCACGAGGCACAGAGGAGTCTTCTGGATCCAGCCACATAACTTTGCCGCGGCCGCCCCTCAGCACACTGTTTTTGCAATCATAGAACGGCTCAGAACTTTTCTGTGATTTTCGCAGATGCGATGCCTGAATTCAGCCCGAACTCGCTTCGTTGTCGGCTTTTTGTTGCGGCAGGGCAATCCTCACAAGATGTGGCCCTGCTGAAACGACCTGAGGCTTTCGCTTGCCGAGGTAGCCCTCCTCAACCTCGTTTGCCAGTCGGCAAAGCCTGTAGCACTGCACCCGGCAAATGTCCAAGCGGTGACCAGTGGCATTTGGCTGAGGAATCGGCCTGCTATCCTTGTCGAACCCCCGCACCATCTCAGCAGAAGCACGAATCAGACGTGCCCTACAACTGTCAGCAGGTGTCAAGTAAACCTCGATCTGTCGGAATCTATCTGTTCGCCTTGCAATAAACCAATGGCATCAATGTCAACAGACAGGCTTCGCAAGCACAGGCGGTAGTTGGAAATTCGAGATGTATTTTCCACAAGAATGCAAACTTTCGCTCGTAACACTCGCGCAGGTATGCTGCAAGCAAGTCACCCTCATGGCTTCTTCACGATCTTCATCGCGCTGAATCAGGCGGAGGACACAGAAGCCTTGGAAGACCATTCGTCAAGAGGGCTTCTCTAATGTGAGAGCTGCAGTGCACACCAGAGGCCCAGAGGCTCAGCGTCAAGCCTTTCTCTAACAAGCTGTTGGAGAGGACCTGCACACGGAACTCCCTCCATTTGGCGCCAAGCTCCCTGTATCCACACTGGCTTTCAGGCGGACATGGCAAAGACTGGTTCGGAGAATTATTTAAACCGCTGTCTGAATGGAAGGCTGTCAGCACTCTTCCGCTCGTTCCTCGTGCGGTCTGCTGTCGCGCAACGAGCCTAGGTGCGCCCGAGCCTTCCTGAGGAGAGTAAGTACTCTGTCTTCTTCCGCTCAGCAGCAAGGAACCCTCACCCCCTGTGCATATGCATGCACCTGGTCTCTGCACTCTGTCTCCCTCTCTCTGCCTTACTTCCGCCAGACCTCGCCTTCGGCCCCCCGCTCCCCCTTCCTGCTTTGATAGGGAAGAGGCTTTGGGGTCGTTCATGAAGGTCCTCGGCCGCTTGGGGCAAGGTAGCAACTGGTGGTTGTCGTCAGCATCCCCCCACGTACTCGCTCTGGCTCTTTCTTTTTGCTTTTTCTCTTGCTTGCCTGTTTTTGCTTCTCCCAAGCATACAGGGCGAGCCTGTTTCTCGCACTCTCTCTCTCTCTCTCTCTCGCGGTTGGCGGTTGGTGAGGCAGTTGCAAGTTGTGGTTTCTCTCTGGCTCTGATGCAGCCGGCCATGTCATTTCCTGCAGCTATGTCCGGCATGCACGAAGTGTGCCTCGCCGAGGGCGTCTCGGTTCGTCCTCGGACCGATAACTATGTCATAGCTGTCCGGCCCACCGCCAGTTGTCGGCCCCTGGCAGGATTGGACTGTCAGAAAAGGACGGTCTGTTCTTTCTCATTGGCAACTTGCATCGGGTCTGCCTGCCACCTACACTGCACCTACACCCAGTCTGGTGCGGTGCAATGCACTGGGAAGCGTTTGGAACATTTTCCCGAACACGAAAATGTCATTCACAATCGGCGGGATGCTCAACGGGCCTTTGAGCTCTGACTTCCGTGGCAACGACCTGAACCCTGTGAAGTAAGTGTTGTGAGAAGCGCTTTTGCTACTGTAGTCCATTGCAGGCTGATTGGCGGGAAGACGGTGGCCTGCAAGATCTAAACCTACTGAACTTTCAATACTCAAGGTTCTTTTGGGATTGTGGCCTGGCAGTCGGCGACGCTGCACACGTCCTTGGGGTCCACCCGCACCGTTCGCCCCGTGCCTGAGTCTGGCACAGGTGAAGTTGCCTGAACCCTGCAGTTGCATCAGTTTCCCTGCACCCTCCCTGACGGATACTACACAGCAGACCAAAAGTGATCGACCGAGCGACTCAGGAGAGCGATCTCGAAGAGATTCTCCTGTGGAAGCCAGTTCACAAGCTGACCACACCTCGGGTGCCCGGGTGCTCTTTCCGCTGCCTGAACACTCCCTAGACTGCACTCCACGCTACACTAGCTGAGATCTATTGCTGCATCTTCAGATCCCGCGATGCAAAAAATTCCACAAATCTAATAAAACATGTTACGGCTGCTACGGCTGCACACCTTAGAAGCTCTGAGACCCCCACTTCCCTGCCAAACTGGCGTGGCTTGCCTGACGGATGCTCGCACGATTGGATCCCGGAACCATGAGAAAAATTTTCAATTTGTAGCTGAAGCTGCTCACGACAGCTTGCTAGCCAGAATGGGAAGGGAACACTATCTTCAGCTGTTGTCTATTCACCTTCTCCAAATGTTTGTATCCTGCTTCGAAATCACTACTCCCCCGAATGGTTTGCTCCCCTTGCTCCATATTCTAGTCCGTTTCGAACGGTTGGATCCTCTGTTTGATGTTCGTTCTCCTCTTCGAACCGTTTGTTCGCATTTGGCAAACTCTCCCTTTCGAATAATGCGGTATCTTCTCTCATCTTTGGTCTCTTTACGACGGTCAACTGCGGATGTTTCAGTCGTGTTCGAGTTTCTTCCCATCGCTTATCTTTGTTCCTTTCCCGATACCTTTGATCACTCTCGATTCATTCCCCGGTCCAAATATCTCCAATCCCTGTCCAAAGGAAGCAATCCTCCACCTCTCTAATCCTTCTCCAACATGTTCCTTGCTGACGGTTTGGTACCCTGCTCCCTTCGAACGGTTTGCCCCATCTCTCCAATTCTCTGCTCCCTCACTCAAATTGTATCATCCAGTCCGAACGCTTTGCTCCTTATCCCAACATATAGTCCCTCTTGAACGGCGGATTGCATTTTTCTCCAACTCTTTCATGGTTTGTCCAACGGTTTCGTTCCCTGTCTCAAACATTCGAGCTCATTTCCATCTTAAATTCCCTGGTCCTCTTGGAACAGCTTGCCCTCGGCCTGGCTATCTTCCTGATTCCCTTCCGGAGGTTGGTTTCCTCCGTTTCTCAGACTGTCCACACCATCTCGAACGGTTTGGCCCCCTGCTCAAAGTGATTACAGTAGTTCCGGTTGTTTGTTTTGCACCGTTCTCTGAATCTCTGGTCCCTCGTGAATGACACATGTCGAAAGGTCTGCCACCCCTTTTCTCAAACTCTCAAGCCGTTTTCGAGTTCTGTGTCCCTGTTCCCAGATTCTCGAGCCGTGTTTCGGGCGATTTGCCTGTTCTCTTAAATTGTCTTATGAGTCTTGTGCGTTTCGGACACCCAAAGTCCCAAATATTCCAAGCCTGACTTAAGCTCAACATGCAAAGCTTCCCCGTTGGGCCTCTATCTCCACCAGCTGTCCAATGTGCAGCCCGTCAACGACGGGAAGCCACTGCCCAAGAGCCTAACAAGGACATGGTACTTTGAAGAGGTGCCATGCAGGCTGGAAGATTGGATCTGCCGGTGGGCTGAAGCTCTTGATGTGGAACTTACTCAAACTTTGCCGGAAGGGGTTGTTGCCGGATTTTTCTGAATGCACAAGGCCACGCTGCGCTACCTGCATGCTCACCGGCAACCTCAAGTCACTAGGAAATCTGGTGGCCACGCACCAGCTTCGGTGGTGCTAGATCTGCAGTTTGCCTCTCAACACCCAGCCTCATCATCGCCCTCCGGAGGAGCCATCGCGGTGGTGTCCAAAACGAGACAGGCCCAGGATGGGAAACACCACTGAACTGGACCCTCTGGCAGTGGAGCTAGACTAAGTGCGTCTAGCGATCCAGTGAATGATCATACATCTCTGAGGCACTTGTGGAAGAGTAGCTTGGTTGAAACGAAGCCCGGCATGTTATCGCCAAAGCCTTCCTCTTGGCTCTGAGCCCGGCAATGCACAGCTTGACATTGTTGCTGCTGTTTTTCGTGAGGTTGCAGGTGTAGGACTGTTGGCACTGTAGCTTCTAGCACGGAGCTGGGATTGGTGCAGGCCTCCATTCCTGAAGCCTCCGGCCTTGAGTCAGGAGATTCAAGGCACACCCTGATGAAATAGCCTCAAAGCGTTCGGCCTTCGAGCTTCCTTTTCGTAGAGGCACCCCTTCAGGCGCTGCCACCCTGCTAGCCAACAACGTTGGCCGTGTCGGCTACTGGGCCAAGCCACCGGAAGACGCCGCGCAGGAGCTTTGGACTGCTCTGGGGCCCAGGAGGAATGACGAGGAATGACGACGAACAGGGATCCGCTCAGGCAGTGCTACCGCCAGGAGCTTGAGGAACCACTGACGACATGAACTACACGCATGATTGCGAAAGAAACAGTACTTCTTAAGCTGTGAACTTCTACGATGATTGCACGGCAGCTTCATGCCAGCACTCGATCCGAAGTACCAGCATTGCTGTGCCGCGTCAGAAAATGAGCGGCGACATGTCCACTAATTGGCTCAGCATGAGTGGCCTATGCAAACATGGCGAGCAACTCGATGCAAGGAAGCGTGTGTAGCCTCCACAAAACCTTTGTCTTGTGAATTGGCACACCGTCCCAAGCCATCTGAATCATTATCAGAAACATGCAGACTAATGACTAATCACGACTCTTGGTTTCAGGTCTCTCGATGATGCGGGACGGCACGTTGAAATAAAAACACAAGGCCAAGGCCCAACTTGTCACGATGTGTCCCTACGGGATCGTGAGGTAGGGCCGGAATTCCTACACGAGTCATGTCCGGCGAAGTTTGTCGATCGCCAGCAATCCTTGGACCGGGGTTTAGGGTTTAGGGGTTTAGGGTTGCAGAAAGCGGGCTCCGTTGATTCACATGCCTCCAGATTGAAACCTCCTCTGATATGTTTCAAACAACGGTTCTCGAGGATTGTCACGGCTTACTCCTTTTCAAAGGCTAGGTCTGAGATTCAAAGCAATTCCGACAGGCTCCACTCTCTGGGCGGGGCACCACAAAGAATAAGTCCGGCGTCGACACCGGGAGCCACCCTTACCTGCCGGATGGGGTGGATGGGAGTCCGAGGCTTTCCCGACAAGTGCGATGGCTGAGTTGAATCCCAATCAGGGAGTGACCGGGTGACTGAGTATGCCTTCGACACAGCAACGCAATCGAGAACGTCAGCAGGAAGGGAGACGATGCTACTCGTACTGGTGCCGTCACAAAACCAACGAAACGAATGTCTCAATTTGGAGCGGTTTGGAGAGCTGTGCGCGGCCGCTGGTCGGCCGGGTTCTACAGAGAGCACCAACAGTCTCCCGCTGCAGCTGCTTGCCTGGAAGTATGGTGCATTCCCCGTCGGCGCAGCACAGCGCTCCGTGTCACACACAAGCCGGCCGTTGGCATTCACCACGTTGATGGCCTGCGAAACACTCCGTGAAACAACGAAGTCTCACCTAAAATGCATTGAACCCTAAAAGCCCTAAGCCCTAAGCCCTGCAAAGTCGGACTTCGAACACCCCCGTGAAACGCGAGGTCGCTGGCCTTCTCCTGGAAGTTGCCATTGAAGGTGAACAACCGCTGCCCCGAAGCATCTCTCAGCCTGGGCCCGTGAAGCCGCAGAATGCCAGTAGTCCGAAGCTTAGGAGCCCTGAAGGTGCAGGCGCTCGCTATCGCTTGCCAATGCACCCTGCACCCTCCCCAGCAGGCTTACCCATCCGCAAAGTGCCACGGCCCAGGCACGTACCGCTTGTTCGGCACAGGGTCTTCCTTGGAAATCGTTCCATATGCCTGCAAAGCGTCTTTGGGGACCGCATGCATTGGGAAAGTGGGACATCCTGAAGTCTGCAAGGGCTCCGACGGATGACAATGCAGCAACTTAAATCCCTTTGGCTAGCGCTACTGATGTTCAAGAAGTCAACAAAACGTGGTACATAGCTCGCATTATTTCTAGGCCGCAATAGTCGGCCGCCGCCTTGGGAAGCGGCAGTGTAGCTGTCCGGCGTGACAAACAAGGCCGTTCTCGTAATCACCGGATGGTACGTTTTCGCAGCGCCCGCTGAGTCGTCTACGTACTCGACTGAGCGTGGGACTGCATGAAAAAACTTAAATCCCACCCTGCCTCACCAGAAGGCCAGCAAATCTGCGGAAGACCTCCACGTTTCCTCGGCCCAAGATATGCTCAAGGATGGCTTGAGCAAAATCTGAGGGCGAAGAAGCACTAGGGCAAGATGGATCAGAGACGGTTCTTTTCAAACCGCAAAGTTCTGATGCTACTGGAAGATCGCCGCCTTCCGTAGGAATGCAAGGAAATCTCAAGTCAGGATGGGGGCGAAATGAGATTGGAGCCAAAATGAACTTCACCCAAAGAACTGGCCGCGTATGGGAGGCAAGGCCCTGGCTCGTAGAGCGGCGCAGTGCGGACCTAAAAATGGGCAGATGGGCATTCGACCCAGCGGTTCGTGCTGGCAGCGTTCGATCCGCTGGCACAGTTTTCCATGATAGGCCGGTTCCCAACTGTCCGGCATCGCCAGGGCTCAAAGGCAGGTTCTTCGCCGGGGCAACGGCCCACGCAAGCGGTCGCTCGTCGAGAGAATGGAGGAAAATACCTGGAGCATGCGATAATAGAAACTGAGACACTTTCAAGTTTCAAGTCGGAACGGACAAATATTTACATCGACTATCCCACCCCAACTAACAGAAATGAGTTGGTGGGACATTTGGATTCACTGCTGCATACTTGGTGGGCAGGGCTTGCAGGAATAAGTACGTGAGGGCGAGGAGAGGAGTATTGCATTGCGGGTTTAACAATAACTTTGCGGGTTTAACAATAACTCTTGGCGTGGGCACTCCATGGTATCTCCGGGTATGCTCTGTGGTCTTTGGAGGATGGGCACTGCGAGGCTACTGCTCTGATTTGCAGGCAGTCCAGACAATATACTCTGCAGGATACGTTTGCGGTTTGCAATGGAATGCTTTGTGAAATACTCTGGAGGCGGGCACTGCTGGATACTCTGCGGGATCCTTTGCAGGAGCCAGTAAAGGAGTGCGAGGAGTGATGAGAAGAACAGCAGCCTTAACATCAAAATACCAAGACAGACGATGGAGAACAACCAGAGGTCTGGGGCAGTCGATCTCCGTCTTTGTTAGACTTCTTGTATCATCTAACTGCACCGCGCGGGTTTGGGTCTTGACCCACTACCTTGGGGGGCGCACCGCAACGAGAGCCGAACTCGTCAACGACGACCTAAGTTGGATGGTTTGCTGCGTGGTTCGCACTGGTGCCAGATGTGAGCCCCAGCATCGAAGCGCTTCACTTGCCGAGGCACTCTGCTCAAAGGCTGACCTTGTAAATCCACGATGTGGAACCTGACGAAATGTCTCTTCCGGGAACGTGATACAAGTCTTCGAACAGTGAGCACGCCGGTTTCAGCAAACTCCTTCTTTCCATTGACGCATGATAATAATGCGTGCTGGCAAGACCACCAGCCCATTCACTCAATTGTCCGGGGGCGCGGCGCAAGCTGCTGCTTTTCAGCAGAGACCAACTCTGAGACCTTGGCACTCATCTCTTGCTGCAACTCGGCGGCAGCTTTGGATGCTTTTTTCTCTCGACTCTGGCCTCTTTCGTGCGAACCCACACAGGCTAAACGTGCATGCTACTCAGACGGACACTGGGCGGAGGCACGGTGGCTGGGGTCCCGGGCTGCAAACACCAATTCCATGCCGCTGGGGACGACCAAGGACCTTGGTGCGCTTGCTCTCAGGAAGCAAAGCCTGCTGAGAGCTCAAGGGGTCATTGCACCAGGCAGCCGGAGAGGGCTTGCTCAACTTAACCTCGAACCGGGTTTGCTCCGGCCCTCCTCCACTCGGCTCGGTCTCCGGCGGGCAGAGCCAACGAGTCCTGAAGCAGACATCGGGAAGAGACAAGAAGGGAGCCGACTCTCACGTTCCACGAGCAGCCCTGACCCGCTGGCCGCTAGCTCCCAAAGCGTCGAACCTCAAAGCATCTAACCCTTTGGCTGCTCAGCCACACCCCCAGAATATGCGGTCCTGGGAATTGTCGTGTCGCTGGAAGATGCTTTCCTCACACTGCAGGTCGGTCTCAACACTACACGACTGCACAGTTTGCACCGGTAAATTCAACCGTGGTTTAAGATCGGCCAGATACTGGAAAAGCACCCACGTGCGTGACCACAACCGAAACGAATCTCATCACGGCAAGCTCCATGCGGCTGGGGCTTCTTCTCACATCTTCATTTTTCTCTTTATGGCGGGATCACATGGGGTGAGCGAGAGAACCAGCCGAGCTGGCTTTAATCATCTTCAATTTCTGATGCCTGGAACAGAACCGATGCCTTAAGCGGTCCTGTACGTAGGGCTGCCAACGGGCGATGTCAGCAAAGATGGCGGAGGACCTCAGAGGGACAGGAAGCAAAGTGTGGAATGATTAGAGAAAACGAGTGGCTCCATGAAAAGACTCAGCCTTTCTCCTGCGAATCTCCGCGACTGCTGTGCTGCTGCAGGCGAATGCGGGTCGAGGCTGAGACCCGACCGCGAGGACTTCACACGCTGGAGGACCTGTGTGCACACGATTCTGTCTTTAGAAGCTCAGGTTCAGCGTCTTCGAGCGCACTCAGACATGGATCACTGACCCGCAACATCCACGCTTTGCCAGGCTCGAGCCTTACTGCTTTGGGAAAAAAGCCTGAATGTGCTCTGACCCTTCCCCCATTTCCTGCCTCGCTTGGTGCCGGATCGGGCTTCTGGGAAGGCCCGAAACGCTGCCTTGGCTTCCACTATCTGAACCGTGGGTGGGAGACTGCGGGCTGGCAACTTGCCCCTCGGAGCCCTTCCCTGAATCCTGCTACGAGGGACGGAAGGGCACATTGGCAAGTCAGCTTGATATTGAAGCTTTCAGCCGTGCGGCTCGGAGCGGAAGTAGACGGCTAAGCACGCTGAGAGTACCTGGCCGCTCTCTGGCTTGCTGACCTCACCTCCACAAGTCTCTCCAAACTGCATGGTGCCTGCCAACGACACGCGTAAGCCCGGAATCCGGCACGACCCGTCGCAATATTAAATCCCCGAAATATTTTCGGACATGGCAGCGCACGATGCCAAGCGCGGCCAGCAAGATCAGAAACACAGCTGGGCTCGACCTTTGGAGAAGCGCGTGAAGAGCGACATCGTAGACTGACTGCCGAGATCTGCTGCGAAGCTACGGCCTGCATCTAGTTGACCTCACCGAAGAGGGTAAAGACCACGATGGATATCACTAGCAGGGTTTTTTGTCCCACGTTTGATGTCCCTAAGATTCTTCAAACCCACGTCTGCTAGTGACATGCCATGCTGAGATCCATATGTGTTCCAGATCAGAACGCCGGAAAGCCCTTCCAAGACTGTAGACTGCCTCACATGTGCGAGCGTTCAAAACGGCTTGGCTTGAGCATCCTGCACGAAGTACGATGAAGCGTGGATCCGCCGTACCTGAAACAGGCACTGCCCCGGGCATCCCCTCGTCGGATTGTCTGGGCCCGAAGCCTCGAATCTGACGATTCGGCAAAGCCGGCATCAACTTTCAAAGCTTCCCATCCGATCTCTTTCCCCGGCACCTGGCCTCATCCACTAGGGAAGAATTCGTCCAGGAGCTCCGAGTGAAGAGCATGGCCACCCAGCCTCTTCTGCATGAAGGGCGGTTATACAGCTACAACCGACCATGACAGACCAAGGCAATCATTACGGGACGGCGACATCGGTGGCACGAAGCCGTAGACTTGATCTCCATCCAGACTCTCAGGCGCATGCCACGGCCGATGGGGCCGGGTGTCCATCTATTCCATCTGACCGCACTCTGAATTGCCTCCTGTCGCGCGCGCGAGACAATGCCTACCGGGCCTGCCGACTCCACCACTCACAAGCAGCGTGCACTTCCCAAACGACCTGCAGCTGGACCAGCGCTCGGTCCGCCTGAGCAGTGGTATCGACAAACAAGCAGACAGACCGACCAAAACTCACACTAACAGACAGAGACAGAGAGAGGAGAGAGAGACCGAACTCTTCCCTTTTCTGTACATCAGTAGACATAGTATACATGCATGCGTGTATTTGCACAGAAGCGAAAGCTCAAGAGACTTCATGCAAAGAGCCCAATGGTCGGGGGGACACAGTTCGGACCATCTGCAATCTGCAGATGGCGGCATCTCTAAGAAACCTGTCTCTCGACAAAGCCAACTGAATTTATTAAAGCCAAGCTGCTCTGGTGGCATTGGTCCAACCCACTTCTTCTGAAGCCGTGCTGTTGCCTTCGAGGTTCTGCTGAAGCAAAGAGCTTTGGTTGGTAGCTTTTTGAAGCGAGCTGCGAAGTTCGTCCGACTTGACTTGTCGGATTATCTGTGACACATAACTCTTCGGATCGACTTAAGCCGACAGAATCAGGTACCTTTCGCTTCTGGCTGAAAGGGCAATTGCTGCGGCGATGACTTTGTTTGATGAAAGCCCGGCACTGATGGTTTGAGAAATCCAACATCGGGCCTGAAATTGAACAGAAGTCTGGACATTGGGCATTGCATTCACAGCTTGATTCCACTCAGGCTGCTCCACCAGTGCCAGGATGTTCACATTGACATCCATAACAGGTACAACCAGCTGCCACATGCTGGTGCTTCGAAGTGGCCATTCGAGGAGAGGATGTTGTCAACTTGAGGAGAGGGTGGAGAATTTTCCTTTGCCTTTGTTTTTTTTCTTGGCCCTTTTTTTTTTTTGGCCCTGGGCTCCTGCGTTCTCCGTATTTGCCGCATGCGTAGTAGTAGTAGTAGTAGTAGTAGTAGCAGCAGTAGTCGTAGCAGTGGTAGTAGTAGCAGTGCTAGTAGTAGTAAGGAGTAGTAGTAGTAGTAGTAGTAGTAGTAGTAGTAGTAGTAGTAGTAGTAGTAGTAGTAGTAGTAGTAGTAGTAAGTAGTAGTACGTAGTAGTAGTAGTAGTAGTAGTAGTCGTCGTCGTCGTAGTAGTAGTAGTAGTAGTAGTGTAATAGTAGTAGTAGTAGCAGTAGTAGTAGTAGCAGTAGTAGTAGTAGTAGTAGTAGTAGTAGTAGTAGTATGGTAGGAGGTATAGTAGAAGTAGGTGAAGTAGTAGTAGTAGTAGTAGTAGTAGTAGTAGTAGTAGTAGTAGTAGTAGTAGTAGTAGTAGTAGTAGTAGTAGTGTTGTAGTAGTAGTAGTAGTAGTAGTAGTAGTAGTAGTAGTAGCCGCCACAAGTGCTCAAGCGGCCGCGCTGAATGAGAGGTTTCGAACTGGCTTGGGGCGCAACTGCTGTGCTAGAGGTCCCAACTGGGCTCTTTTCTGAACAGTAAAGGTTTGTGCCTCCTTCTACGCCATGGTCCTCTCCCTTTTCTCACAGGAGCTGCTTTGAGCCGCCAGGTCCCAATTCCTGGGCCCAGACTCTGTTTAAAACATTGCAACCCTGGGTAGGCGGTAGGGTTTCCACCTCCGCGCGGTGGAGGGAGTCATTAGGCTTCTGTCTCTTGACGAAAGTAGCGGATGGCGCAATTGCCAGTGCACTCACAAAACTTTGCATCTCTTCGTAAGAATTCGTTCAAGACAGCATGTAGAAGGACAGTCCGTAGTGACGGGCCCGTACCATACCGAGGGCAGGTTCTGACACCTACCCTGGTTGATCGTCTGGGGGTGCGCCCCCCACCCACTCGAAGAGAGCTTCAGTCACAGACTGCTGACTCCCCTGCATATGGCACAGCCTCCCGCAGGGCAGGAAGGTTGGAAAGATCCATTCGAGTTCTTTCGTGGAACGCGGGCCACCTAGGCCAACAGCAATGGGGCGAACTCAAAACATGGCTAGCAGCTGAAGCCTCTCATCACTGCGACATCCTCATTTTGCAGGAAACGCACTGGACTGAGACCAGCGAATTCAGCGTTTCTGGGTGGTACTGTATCTCCTCAGCCTCGGAGTCTACCAAACCCAACACCCGGCCTAAACAAGCAGCAAAGCGAAACACTCGGCAAGAACCGCGAGCCCCATCCACGACTCGCGCTGATGGAGTCATGATCCTATTCTCTCCCAAGTTCGTCCCCAAGAGCTTACGCTGGAAGGAGTGGAGCCCGGGTAGAGTCTTAGAAGCTCGCGCGGACATTGCAGGTACTCGGCTGGTTATTGTCGCGGTGTACCAGCACGCTTGGTCTTCTGCCAAGACCATCCAGTCCAATAAGGACGACCGTGCTAAGGTGCTATCTGTCATGTCCAAGGTGATCAAGCAGGTGCCCAAGAGGGACTCCCTTATTGTAGCAGGTGATTTTAACACTTCCTTGCGTTCGAGCTCTCCATTGGTGGGACCGCACGTGAAGCCACCTACTGAGGACCGCCCTGATGAATCCAACTTGTTTAACCTACTGCTCAGGTTGCGTTTGGTTGCCCTCAACACCTGGCAATGTGACCATATAGCTACCTTTTCACAAGGAGGAGTGGAGTCGCAAATTGACTTCATTCTCACCAAAGAATCTACGGCGGGAGGCAAAGCAAAAAGGTCAGCCCCATGGGTGGACTGCCCGTTGGGAAGCTGGAAGAAAGGGGGGCATTACCCGCTTAAAGCTGACGTACCCCTCCAGCATCACTGGCTGCTCCCATCCCACAAACCCAGCACGCGCCGTTACGATTCACTAGCTTTACAGGCCTCGGTCAGAGAAGAAGACGAGACGGCAAAGGCACTGCACAGCTGGATAGCTTCCAGAATTGACACCTGCCAGGACCCCAAGGCATGGAATGCGTTGCTTTTGGAAGGTGCAGAACGCTTTTTCCCAAAAATTCCCAAAAGAATACCGATTCTGCTGGAATCGGAAACCCGTCGCATGTGGCGGGCCCGCACTCATGACAGGGCTGCGAATACTCCCTCAGCACAGCTGATCGAGTCACCTAAAGCAATGGCACAGCCTCCTAATCGGAACACGCCACGTCCGCCGGAAACAGAAGCTGAGCTGGCACAAGTGGCACATCGCCAAGCTGTGAAACAAGCAAAGAAAGATCGCATTGCAAGTTTCATATCGGAGGTAGATGCGAGTCTAGCTGAAGGTGATCAGCATATCTCCTTCCAGACCCTCAAAAAGCTGCAGCCTTGGCAGCCCGCGCGCAGAGCTCAGCTAAAGGACAACACAGGACATCTCCTAGGCCCAGCGCAGGAACTAGCAGCCCTCAGGGATTATGCCAATCAGGTATTTGCGGCCCACCCTCCGTTACGGACTATGCATGGTGCTTTCCCTGCTTTGGAGCCACCCAAACTCGCAGCTCACATACATTCCATCAAGCCGAACAAAGCTGTTCCTGACGGAGCGGCACCAGCGGCTGTATGGAGGCTGTGTAGCGATCTCGTTGCACCGGTCCTCTCCGAACACGTAGCATCCAAGCAGGCCGAGGACAGTCTAGAATCCGACCTAGTAGACGCAGATCTCTGTTTAATACCCAAGCCGGGCAAGCCCTCTGATAAACCAGCAAACTTGAGACCCTTGGGTATCCTTCGACCTGACGCTAAGGGACTGGCGGGAGCGGCCAGAGAAGCGCTTCAACCACTGACCCTCTCGTTCCTCAAGTACATGCCACAGTTCGCTTATCTACCAGGTCGGGGGCTGTCAGACGCACTAGAACGCGTGGTGCATCACTTGCGTGAGGCACGATCCCTGTTAGAACAGGCCCACCCCACGAGACATGCCTTGCAACAAGGCACACAGGCCCCAGCCTTAGTCGGCGGCCTCACCTTTGCTCTTGACCTCAGCCAAGCGTTTGACACAGTCTCTCGCCAAGAGATCATCGACCTTCTTCAGCGTGAAGGGGCCGATCAGGACACAGTCCACCTTGTTCAGGCTCTACATGACGGGTCTCGTTACGTTCTTCACGCGCAGGGAGATTCCACCTCTGTTGAAACCACAGCAGGCATTAAACAAGGATGTAAGCTCGCTCCCACACTCTTCTCGTTCCTTACAGGTGACCTTTTCCGCTCTCTGGTCGACCTTTTCGGTGCTGAGCAGGTCTTGAAGTTCCTGACTGGCTATGCCGATGATCTCACGCTCCATCGGACTATCCGCTCTGACAAGGACCTCAGGGCCATTCATGCTCTCATCGCAGCGCTACTCGAAGAGGTCCGCAAACATCGCCTTCGCGTCAACATTAGCAAGTGCGTCATCTTAGTGAAGTTAGCGGGAAGAGAATCCCAAAACGTGTTGAACAAACATGGCTGCTGGATCACCAACTCAAAGGGCGAGCAGGTTCGCGGATGGCGCATAGGGCCCAACAAATCTTTCCCCGCCTTCCAGTGGGTCTCCTGTAGCAAGTATCTGGGGGTTATGATCTCCTACAACCACTTCGAGCTGCAGTCCTTGCATTACCGCATTGGGGAAGCCAAGCAAAAGCTGCATCAAGTCCGCCAGTTTGTCTACAATCGCCGGCACGCGAGCACCATGTCGAGACTTAAGGTTTGGCAAAGCACAGTCCTGAGCACACTGACCACAGGCCTCTCAGACGTCGGACTTAGCGAGGAGTCGGCCAAGCAGCTACGTAGTTGGCATGCTTACAAGGTGCGATCAGTGCTGAACTTGCCAGCACACACCAGCCGCATCACCACTAAGGACCTCTTCCAGCTTTATAGCATTCAGGACCCAGTTCAAGCGATGCAGGTCAAGCTCAGGAAGCGACTCCGCAAACTTGAGCGGCGTGCAGCCAGAAGCCCAGATATCACAACCGATCCTGCTGTCCTGCAAGTCATCCGGGACAAGCTGCATTTCATGTCACAGCTCCCAGAAACAGTTGAGCACCCTGTAGCCCTACATGCATGCACACTCTGCGATGCCTCCTTCGAGACAGCAAACGGGTTACATTTACACAAGTCGAGAGTGCATCCAGCCAGCATTGACCGATTTGTGCCATCAAGCTTCGATCGGCAACTCCACGCGGTGGATGGGATGCCGCAATGTGCCGCTTGCATGCGCAAATTCCATCAATGGAAAGGTCTACGTGACCACCTGTTGTCAGGAGCATGTCCGGAACCCCAGAAGCTTCGAACTCTGAACGTGACTGACAAACACTCCAGTCACCCTGAGGTAAGGACCCTGTCCCAGCTGCGTCAGGACATAGCCCAACTCCCACAACATCGCATAGCGGTGATCTCAAAGACACCGGAGGCCCGGATCCTGATCCATAGGTGCCTCACGTGTGACTTTTGGACTTTCGATCACACTAAAGTCAAGTCACACTTTCGTCAGGCGCATCCTAAGGACTGGTCAAGGCTGCACAAACGCGCAGTCTCTATATGTC